ATTTATATTTTAATTTTAGTTCCTGTCATGGTAAAATTAGACTGTAGGTGTGTTGGTACAAGGCCTGGTCAGGTAAATATTTATTCACTTTAAAAGGTAACATCTGATAAGGTGGGTTAATACATCTTTTTTTCCTGTTTTTTTTTTTTTTTTTTTACTTTCCACTGATTACACATAAATGTGGATTTATTTACCCCCCCCCCCTTCTACTGTGTGTGAGTGTGTACATGTGTATATATATATATATATATATATATATATATATATGTAATATATATATATATGTATATTTTTTTTTGCCAGCCACACCCGTGGCAGATCCATGGTTTGAATGGCCACACCCGTGACAGATCTTATGTCTCACTACCTCAGTCATTTCCAATGTGGTCAGAAGACTATGAAGTTAATATTTAGAAAATATAGAGGTAAAACACTGAATGTTTAGGGATGCATAATTGCTTGGAAATTGTTAAAATATAGGACCTTTTGTGGTATTGTATATGTATCAACTTTGTTTACACATAGCTCACTCTTAAGGAATAGCATATGTGTGTAAATGGTGTTTTTTTTTCAACCAATGTTTAAAATACAGAAACATTTTTAAATTACCTTGTTTCAATAGTTGTACACTAAAAAGGCCCACACTTTGCTATATTTCTTTCCTTGGATGTTTAAAAAAAAAAAACTGCACATAGACCCCTCCAAAGGTCCCTCAAATATTTTGGGTCCTATATTTTTAATAGAAGCTGGCAATTTAAAAACATTTACCTTTGTAAATGTAATTGATTAGAATATGGACAGCGTTACTGAAAATCAATAAACAAACCTATATGTAAATGTATATATATATATATATATATATATATATATATATATATATGAAATAGCAGCTAATCCAACCCTTAACAAGGTGTACATATAATGCAAAAAAGGCAATGCTCCTCCTTAGTATAATCTCAAAGTGCTGACACAAATCTAGATAAATCCTTAAAACCAAAGTGTTCATAAATCAATATTACATATCTATAATAAATTATCTCCAGTAAAAAGTGTCCTTTTACAACGTATTCAATAAGCCAAGAATGTGAGAGAAAAAAAAATATATAAAATGTCCAAACACCATAAAAATAAAAAAAATAAAATATACTGCATGTACAAGTGCTTTTGTCTTCAATATTCAAACTTCATGTGAAAAAAACACACAAATCACCGTGTACAAATCCACCACCAGATACATTGGGTAAACTCACCAGAGCAATATGCTGGTCAGATTATAAACCAGCACAAATGCTTCTGCTCTGGGAGCAATGATCTGCAGATGGATAACCAGAATATGTGGGATAATTAAAAAGGCACTATAATCTTCTCAGTCTCGGAATGAACTCAGGAAGTAAGAGAGGAAAGACTCATAGTGTAACACTGTATCAAAAATGTATTCATAAAAAACACATCATATATTCCACTCACATTTACTAGTGTACGAGCCGACACCAGCATGAATAGCATGCACAGCAAAAATCAAACAGCCTGCTGTACACAGACGTCGGCAGCTCGCTGAACGCATTGACATCACCTCCAGAAGCCCCGTCCTATGCACTTCGTCACTTGGCGTCCTCACAGAGCGGAAGAGGATGCTTTAAAAAACACTGGCCCTGTTCAAATGGATTTTTTTTCGCATTGGTACATGTTCTTCATTGCAGTGCCCAACCGAATCTCATGTTTTTTGTATTTTTTTTACAAACCATCGCCTATTGGCCCAGAAATGGTCATTTTTAATTTGACAGATTTAGCTCGCATTGATTTCAGTGGGATTTTAAGTTTGGAATTTGAAGCTGAACTTTTTGAAAATCACTGATCCATGCTCAAATTGAACCCAGGGCAGTTTGTCTCATTCCTAAAGCTGAATTACTAGTGTAGTAATCCACAGAAACAAAAAAAAATGTAATTTGTTAAAATGAGATGACTAAAATGGAAATTGTAATTGCTTGAGTTATTGCTTTATTGAATATGCCTGTAACTATTTTTAGAGGTACAGAAAATAATTAGACTCCATGTTTGTGTTTAGAAGTCCTCTTCTGCAATTTGAGCATAGGTTTGATACTGTGGACAGGCGGTGTTGATTTATTTTTTGACAGTTGCACATTTATGTTTTCTTTCTGCCTTGCTAGATGGCTTTTCATTATTTTCTATTCAAATTGTAAATGGTTGTATTCCAGGCTCATTGTTAGGATGGTGACAAAAAATATTTGTGAAAGAAAATGAGAACATTTGTGACAACTGCAGTTTCCTTGGTGGAGTTGTCACAATCTGCTTTATAATAATCTTATGTCTGCACTGAGAAGAAATATTTAACTGGACAGCAAGTCTATCCTGATTTAAAGGTGAAAATTGCAAAAATTAGCCACGTTCACTGTGCTATATGTGTACTCAGACATCTGTGAATATAACTGTAAAAAATAATATATTTTATAGCTCACAAATAGCTTCATTTCCTCACAAATGGCCTGTGAATTGTATGTTGGATCTGTGTCTCTTGATTCTGTGTCTTTTGAGTGAAACCCTGACTCTGGGTTCACATACAGTTGTGACCAAAATTATTCAACCCCCACTGAAATTGAGTGTTTTGGCCAGTTTGACATTGCTTTTGATCATTCAGTCATCTTGCTTACATTTACATTAAAGAGGCACTTGTAGGTCAGACAAATATAACATAACAGTTATAATGAAATAACCACAAATGTCTTTTCTGTGCTCACAGCATTATCAGTTTTATTCAACCCCCAAGTGACATTCAATCTTAGTACTTAGTACAGCATCCTTTTACAGTTATAACAGCTTTTAAACGTGAAGCATAGCTTGACACAAGTGTCTTGCAGCGATCTACGGGTATCTTCGCCCATTCTTCATGGGCAAAGGCCTCCAGTTCAGTCACATTCTTAGGCTTGCGCACTGCAACTGCTTTCTTTAAGTCCCACCAGAGGTTCTCAATCGGATTTAAGTCTGGTGACTGCGATGGCCACTCCAAAATGTTCCAGCCTTTCCTCTGCAACCATGCTCTAGTGGACTTGGAGGTATGCTTGGGATCATTGTCCTGTTGAAAGGTCCAACGTCTCCCAAGCCTCAGGTGTGTGACGGACTGCATCACGTTTCCATCCAATATCTCCTGGTACTGAAGAGAATTCATGGTACCTTGCACACGCTGAAGCTTCCCTGTACCTGCAGAAGCAAAACAGCCCCAAAGCATGATTGACCCTCCACCATGCTTCACAGTAGGCAAGGTGTTCTTTTCATCATAGGCCTTGTTCTTCCTCCTCCAAACATAGCGTTGATCCATGGGCCCAAACAGTTCTAATTTTGTTTCATCAGTCCACAGAACACTATCCCACAACTTTTGTGGTTTGTCCACATGGCTTTTGGCATACTGCAGTCGACTCTTCTTATTCTTTGGAGACAGCAAGGGGGTACGCCTGGGAGTTCTGGCACGGAGGCCTTCATTACGCAGTGTGCGTCTTATTGTCTGGGCTGAAACTTCTGTACCCACATCTGACAAATCTTTTCTCAGTTCCTCAGCAGTCACACGGGGACTTCTCTCCACTCTACGCTTCAGGTAGCGCACAGCAGTCGAAGTCAGCATCTTCTTTCTGCCACGACCAGGTAGCGTTTCAACAGTGCCCTTTGCCTTGAATTTGCGAATGATGCTTCCTAAGGTGTCTCTTGGTATGTTTAACATCTTTGCAATCTTCTTATAGCCATTGCCCTTCCTGTGAAGAGAAATCACCTCTTCTCTTGTCTTCCTGGACCATTCTCTTGCCTTCACCATGTTTGTAACCACACCAGTAAATGTCTAGAAGGAGCTGAGTATCACAGTCATTTTAAAGCTGCCTAATTGGTGCTTATTATGCTTGATTGCTGCTCGGTGACATCCACAGGTGTTTTCAATACCTGATGGAAAGCACCTGTATGAACCTCTGTTCTTCAGAGTGGTAGTCTTTAAGGGGTTGAATAATTGTGGCAATGAAGAAACCACATAAGAACCATTTACTACTGTATTACATAAACAATTGATGTCATTTTAGTTGCATTTGGGTAGTTACAACGTCCTTGTAGGATTTGATTCTGAATACAATTCCAAATGTACACTATAGTCCCTAAACCCCTTTACAGCATTGGGGGTTGAATAATTTTGGTCACAACTGTATATGCGGTGCGGTATATCGCATGTGATTAGCACAGGAACCTCACCTCATTCCTGTGCAAATCACATGCGATTTGTGTGTGGTGCGATTGCAGCCATACATTTGTATGGCTCTAATCACACTGCACCCACACCAAAAAGGTGCAGGAGGACCCTTTTTTAGGTCTGCTCTAGAATAGGATCGCATGGGTATTCACACCTTTGCCATCTGATTCTGCACATTGCACCGCATTTTGTGAACCGCTTTTAACCACTAGCCTACAGGGCACTTATACCCCCTTCATGCCCAGGCCAATTTCCAGCTTTCAGCGCTGTTGCACTTTGAATGACAATTGCGCGGTCATGCAACACTGTACCCATATGAAATTTTTATCATTTTTTTGAGACAGATAGAGCTTTCTTTTGGTGGTATTTAATCACCTCTGGGATTTTTATTTTTTCTTAAACAAACCAAAACCACTGAAAATTTTAAAAAAAAATGTTTTTTCTTAGTTTTTGTTATACAATTTTGTAAATAAGTGATTTTTGTCCTTCATTGATGTGCGCTAATGAGGCTGCAGTGATGGACACTGATAGGCTGCACTGATGGACACTGATAGGTGGTACTGATGGGCACTGATGAGGAGGCACTGGTAGAGTGCACTGATGGGCATTGACAGGCATCACTGATAGGCACTGAAAGACAGCACTGATACATGACACTGATAGGCAGCACTGATAGGCAGCACTGACTGGCACTTATAGGCGGCACTGACTGGCACTGCTAGGCAGCACTCACTGGCACTGATGCGCACTGATAGGTGACACTGACTGGCACTGATAGGTGGCACAGATTGGCATTGATAGGTGGCACTGACTGGCACTGATGGGTGACATTGAAAGGCAGCTCAGATGGGCACTGATATGTGGCATTGATGTGCACTGGTATGCACTGATATGTGGCATTGATGTGGCACTGATGGGCACAGCATGTGGCACTGAGCACTGACTGCTGGCACTGATGGACACTGACAGGTGGCACTTCTGGGGCCACACTGATCATCAGGGCACACTGATCATCAGTGCCCTGATGATCAGTGTACATGTCCCCTCTGCGGAAAGCTGATTACCGGCTCTCCTCTCCTCACGAGCTGTCAGCGTGACAGCTTGAGAGGAGAGAAATGCTGATAACCGGCATTTCCGTGTTTACATGTGATCAGCTGTGATTGGACACAGCTGATCACATGACCAAGCCGACATCTTCGGCTCTTTCCATGATCCGCTGTGTCCGAGGGACACAGCGCACCGGCGATCGCCACGCTGCACGCTCCCTGAGCTGCGCATGCGCGGTGAGAATGGAAGGACGTCATATGATGTCCTATCAGAACGAGAGAACCACCTTGCGCCCGTCATTGTACTATAGGGCAGGCAGAAGGTGGTTAAAGTATTTTTAACTTTACATACACACCCACAGAGGTTCACATGAACGGGGTGCGATTCTGATGCAGTGCAGAATTCACACAGAAATGCTACGAATTCCGCACCACATCAGTGTGAACCAGGGCTTAAAATACATTCTTATGTGAACTTATTAAAGTATCTTGAACAGCCTGATTCCTACAAATGCCCATTTCCACCTGACTTTATTTAATGGCTCTGAAAATGCATAGTAACAAGCAAAGGAGCAAAATGTTTTTCCCAGAGGCCAGAATGGATACTTCAAGAAACTGTACAGATTTCTAGATATACTGTAGGAACCAAACTGAAATCATTAAAATTTCTATGCAGTCTGTAATTGTAAAATATTATGTGAAAAATTAATAATACATTATAACTGAGAACAAATGCTTTAGTGAGGGTCCAACATTTTTAAACCAAAGCACTGGAAAAATAAGAGTTCTAAACAAGTATTACTTTCTTTTATAACCATTTTCTACAGGCTACATTATGACATTTAAGTCTTTTCTGAGTAAGCAAAGCTGTGTGTGGGTGCCTGCAACACTTTAAAAAATAACATGCTGTAACTGAATAGTAAGTACTTTGTGTCTGAATATTAAAATATATCTGTTTAAATGTCTTTTGACATTTGATACTTTTGACCAAATACCATAAGGGAAAAAATACCATAAGAGAAAAAAAATTAAAACCACATTTAGGGGGTGGCATGACTTAAAATCATCTTCCCTATTCTGGAATAGTATTGTCCACTCAATATTACAGCCCCTTAAAAGAAATATACAGTACATGTACAGTTTAGCAGAAAAAAGTTGACACGGTAAATCATAACCTCATATAAAGAGTACTTGTCTTTTTCAATAGTACCAAGTGAAGATCCTGGCTGCTCTCTCTTTCTCTCTTTCCTATGCAATCTGCATGTGTCACTTCTGGCAGTTTTTCTCTGACCCAGGCAATCCATGGTGACCACCCACTGCCACCGTCAGCACACAGCATGTGATGGACTGCCCCACTGAACCAATAGGTGTGTAGAAGGGAATGTGCCCATTTCCTCCATTCATGTCTCTGATTGCACTCAGTTCCCTGCTCTGAGTGTGTACTTTGTAGAGCTGTGTAAGAGAGGGGGCTGCAACTAAAGAGGTACAACCTATGTGGGAGAATTTGTTTCATCATTGTATATTTTCTGAGGCTTGTTATTTCAGTAGACCTTTAAATCCAGCTTTGTACTACTATGTTCTTGTGTTTTGGCAGCCTTTTTTGTGCCATATGGTGCAAAGTTCTGCATAGAGAATCAACTTTTATTATTCAGGGTCATGGGCACATGCTTTTTTTTTAACTGTGAGTTAAAATAGAGCCACTGCTGAAAATGATAAATTACAAACAAAACTAGTTACCAGTGTGGATGAAAATACTGTGTCAATAGGGTTACTGTTAAATAGTTGCTTTTTTAAACAAATGGTTTGTGTTTTGAAACATGCAGAAATAAAATATTGCCAATTCCAGCTACATACCCTACATTCTGAGGAACATTACTTTTTCATTTAAAGGGAATGTATAGTGGTTTTGTACATATTTGTCTTGTTTCTAATAGTTAGGCTAATATATATATATATATATATATATATTTTTTTTTTTTTTTTTTCACCGGCCTCTTTATTAGGTACACCTGTTCAATTGCTTGGTAACACAAGTTGCTAATTAGTCAATTGCATGGCAGTAACTCAACCCATTTAGGCAGCTAGACATGGTGAAGACGACTTTCTGAAGTTCCAACTAAGCATAAGGATTGGTAAGACAGGGCATTTAGGATACTTTGAATGTGGCATGGTTGTCGGTGCCAGACAGGCTGGTCTGAGTATTTCAAAAACTGCTGATCTACTGGGATTTTCACGCACAACCATCTTTAGGATTTACAGAGAATGGTCCAAAAAAGAAAAGATATCCAGTGAGCAGCACTTGTGTGGACAAAAATGACTTGTTGATGACAGAGGTTAGAGGAGAATGGGCAGTCTAGTTCGAGATGATAGAAAGGCAACAGTAACTCGTGTCAATATGGACCAAAATCTCTGAGGAATGTTTCCAACGCCTTGTTGAATCTATGTCATGAAGAATTAAGGCAGTTCTGAAGGTAAAAGGGGGTCCAACCCGGTACTAGCAAGGTGTACTTAATAAAGTGGCCGGTGAGTGTGTGTGTGTGTATATATATATATATATATATATATATATATATATATATATATATATATATATATATATATACAGTACATAACATCACTGACTTACCATTGTTTAAAAAATGAAGCTATATATCAAACTGTCCTGCCTTTAGATAACCTATGGTGCATTCAGATTCCCTTTTTTAATTTTTTTTTTTAATTACATAAGTTTTTTACTGAAAGATTTGTGGATAGTGTAACATGTCATAGTATACATAGTAGTAAGACATATGTTGCAAAAAAATAAAAGGGGAAAAGGAAACGGGAGGAAGAGATGGATGGGTTTGTGAAAAATAGATACAGGATGGGGGATCAAGAAGAAAAATGGGAATGTTGGTGGGGAGAGAGGAAGGGAAGTGAATCCCACCATGTTACGCTCCCCCTAACCCCTCTGCTTCCATCTGAAATCCCCCATTTCTGTAGCCAGGCCTTTTATGTCATATAAAGGCTGACACAATAAGATCTGCCCCCAAGAATGGTATTTGCATGTTCACTGGTATCATTGTATAGAAGTAAGAAAAACATCGACATATATGATTAACATACAAAATACTTCATTTATTAATTAAAAATACAAAAAAACACACACAGGTTCACTTCAGTTGAATAACAGGTCTGATTAAATCTGTCATGTTTAGGGGCCATTCATTTGTATTTGCATCCTAGATTCCATACATAATAACTGAATATGGTGTCTGTAATCAAGCAAGTACATCCAAAAACAACACAATTTGGCCTCTGATGCAGCTAAGTGGGTCTGGCAAAACCGGTCAAGCTGTGCAAGTCATCACGGGACCTATTATGGATTTCTTACAAGACTGATATGTACAGTATTACTCTCATGACATTATGGGACATTATCTTCACTTTGGTTGGATATGGTTACAAGTATTAGAAATCCACGTTTGCTATTTTATATGCTCCTGTTTCACAGTTGGGCTAAACAGGATGGATACCTTTTACCTTTTGAATTACATGAATTGCTAGTGTGAGGGAGGCCAACAATCACATGGAGTAAACCTTGGGCACCGCATGCCTGTATGAGTCTGTTACTACCAGCATTGTCACCTCCTCTGGACCACATTGTGTTGTTTTTGGATCTACTTGCTTGCTTGATTACAGCCCCTAAACAGGACAGATTTAATCAGACCTGTTATTCAACTGGAGTGTACCTGTAGAGGAAAATCTGTGAACGAAAGTCTACGGAGATATCTTTGATAACCAGATACTGTTTATAGTGGACTTTGATACAACTATCCAGCATGCTGGAAAATATATATTCTTTGTGGCGACCTTTCTAACTTTTATCTATGTCTATCTGTCACTGTCCCTGTTTTCCTGAGAGCTCTCAGTAGGAAGTTATGATAAACTTTTTTTAATTTAAAATCTGATATATGAATCCTATAGGTCCCTGATAATGATTGTTTAAGGGTTTTTAGTGGTGTTTGTTTTGTTCTGAGTTTGCTTCTTTGTCATTTTAATTAATAAATGAAGTATTTTGTATGTTAATGATATCTGTCCATGGTTAAAAAAGTGATTTGGGTAGAAGTATCGAGCTAAATCCATTTTTCCTTTTTTGTTTTTTTAAATGATTGCCTATGTGGTATGCTCCCTCCCCTATTTAATGAGATATATAACAAATAAACTTGTGACCTAGAAGGATCAAGTATATTTTAACTTTTTGTGATGTTCACTGGTATGACTTATAGATAGTGGATATTTTAAAATGAGACCAACAGGACCATGTGGTTGTGAGTTTGGTCAACCTGTCCTGGTCAACATGTCCTGTGAGATATTAATTTAATGCCTCCATCTCTTCCATTTTGTTTCTCCTTTGGACCTATTCCCTCACCTTAGGGGTTTGTCTAAAGCCCCAGTGGCAGAGGATGCAGTGTTTGGCTACATTGATCTTAAACATGACTAGGGATTTGTCTCCAGAAGGGCTGGAGTTTGGGGCATGCCCACCAGATGTATAGCATTGTCCCTAGCTCTTTGCCACAATGTATTGGCAACTACAGGATACAATTTGTGTAGTCAGGGAAGTGTGCGTTACCACCTGGCAAAACCTCTATATCCGTTTTCTAGTGACTTCCAGGGAGCCTTTAAGAATATGAATGTAAATGTTTTCCCAGTAATTTTCTGTGAGAGTCTGGTCCAGTTCCCTCTTCCAGGCCCAACATTAGGCAACAGAGAAAGCAGATGGATCATCTACAGTAGTAATGATACATATAGAGTAGAGATAACATGGCGTTGCAGGAGTTTTCTATTAAAGTGTGTTTCTCTTGTCGTAAAAAAGGTCTGGTCCACAATGAAAGGGGGCCCTATGTATTCATAAAGTGTTTATTTTGGAGATATGTCAACACAGGAATGGTGTGTGGTGCAGTGAACGTGTTGAGCTCCTCCGTGGTTAGCAGCTTTCCTCATCGGAAGAAGTCTGTGGTGAAAAACATCCTTGTGCTGCCAGGTTGGCTTCAAGAAGGTGGCAAATACACTCAGAGTAAAAGATGGTTAAGACACAAAGGTGTCAAAGATCCCACAGATGGCCTGCCAGGGGCAGGTGCGAAAGGATGAAAGAATG